ATATTATCAGGAGGGATCAGTCCCTGGAGAAGGACATTATTCTTAGTAAAGTGGCGAATCCTTGAAAAGGAGGAAGCCCCTAATGAGATGGACTGGCACATGGACAACCTCAATGGACTCAAGTGTAACAATTGTGAGGACGAATTTCTGCTGTACATAGTGTCGCTATGAGTCAGAACTGATTCCACGGCACGTAACAACAGCTACATCAATACACAGATATATTTCGATCACAGAAAGTTTACAAGGTGAGACAACATCATTCATTTTATATTGTCTCATGTTATGTTTATAATACAGGGGCTTCAAAAAGTTTATGGAAAGATCTCATTACTTTTTCATTCAAGTTTCCCACAAACTTTAAGAAAAAATCTTTATTGTCCATAGGGTGAAGGTTTACAGAGTAGATCATGAGTGTTACATTGAATAAAACATATTCACTTCCTTTCACCTCACTGACTGCCGTTCCTGCAATGGAGCATCTGTATCTCACTTCCTCCCTCTGTTTCCGGTTTCCATTCCTCCTGCTTTCCCAACCCTTCCGAACTTTGGCTTCGGGTAAATGCTGCCCTTTTGATCTCAAATGTTTGGTCATTCTATGGCATGCGTACCTCACTACTGTTGTTATACCCTTATAGACATAGCAGCTATGGCTTAGCTGACATTTGTGCCTTGAGAATGAGTTCAGTTCCAGACCTGAGGGGTGACCAAGGGCCATAGTTCCGGGGTTCTATCACTTTCTATCTGATCAGTAAGCCTGGGCTTTTTTATGATTTGAGTTGTGCTCCATATTTTCTCCCACTCTATTCCACAACTTTTGAAATATATATCTATGTGCTTATCCTACAGTGTGGCTCTGTAGGACAAGCACTGAACTGGTAACCATAAAGTTGGCAGTTCAAACACACCACTAAACCCTATACAGGGTTGCTATAAGTCAGAACCAACTAGATGGCACTTAACAACAACAACATACATATGTGTATGTGTGTGTATATTGTTGTTGCTGTTAAGTGCTGTCGAGTCGATTCCAACCCATAGCGAGCCTGTATAGGGTTTCCAAGGATCAGCTGGTGAACTTGAACTGCCGACCTTGCAGTTCAAATGGCTTTGCAGTCTGGTGCATTAACCCACAGTGCCACACCAGGACACATACTTTTGCTGTCCAGTGCATTAACCCACAGCACCACACCAGGACTCATATGATCGGTGGTTCAAGCTCATCAGCCACTCCTTGGAAACCCTATACAGGGTCACTATGGGTTGAAACAGACTTGATGGCACTTAACAATAACAACAACATATGTGTGTGTGTATGTATATGTTATTATGTGTAAGTCCAAAAGTATTGCTACATAATCATAGAAACGTTTATTAAAATATGAAAATGTGAAGCTACTGTTTCTCAGCATCTCCTCCATCTACGTCTATATACATCTGAAGGTGGTGCTTCTGTCTCTCTAACCCTTGCCCAGAGAATCTTGTGCTCTCCCATTTGGTGGTTGGTGGTTATGTGCCATGGAGTCAGTTTTGACTCATAGTGACCCTGCACAGGGTTTCCGAGGCTATAAATCTTCATGGGAGCAGAAAGCCTCATCTTTCTCCCATGGAGCAACTGGTAGTTTCAAACTGTTGACCTTGAGGTTGACAGCCCGATTCGTACCCACTACGCTACCAGATCTCCTTCATTTACATCATGTCAAAATAGAAGTTTTAGCATCCTTGAAGACTCACATCACATTTCTTTGAAAGGTTCTTTGAATTTTGAAAACAAAAAGAAGTCTGAAGGGACAAGATCAGGACTGAAGGATAGATGAGGTATAGTTTCCCAAAGAAATTCTCTGAATTTCTTGCTACCCTCAAAGAATGAGCAGGTATACTGTCCTGATGGAAAAAAATTCCTCGGCAGTACTTTCCTGGTCTTTTTCTCACCAATGAAGTTTTCAGTTTTCTGAACATTTCTTCATAATAAGCCTCCATGATCACTTTGTATCCGCCAAGAAAAATTTATCAAAATTACCCCTTTGGAATAAAAACTTAAAACCAGTCTCCATAACCTTCTGAGCTGATCTTTCTCTGCTTTTTGAATTGAACTTTTTGGGGGAAGGTTCCCCAGTTGCTCCTTGGAAACCCTATACAGGGTAGCTATGAGTTGGGAGCTACTCAGCAACACTTAACAACAACCCAGAACCACAAGGTTGGTAGTTCAAACCTACCAGTCGCTTAACAACAATAACATATATGAAAGTAAATAAAAAAGTATTGCTACTAGGCTTCCAGTTCACACATGCACAGGTTTATTCGAGATGTGTTTAAGCATGTCTCTGCAATCAGTGGATGGCTGCAGGCAAGTTCTCTCAGTAATACAATTGTTTTAGTCTCCTTAGGATTGTTGTTGTTAAGTGCCATCGAGTCGGTTCCAACTCATTAGAGACCCTGTATAGAGTTTCTGAGGAGCAGCTGGTGGGCTTGAACTGCCAACCTTGTGGTTCAAAGCTTCAAAAAGTTCACGGAAAACTTGAATTAGAAGACAATGAAAATTTTCATATGTATACATGCGTTGTTAAGTGCTGTTGAGTTGGTTCTGATTCACAGCAATCTTGTATAGGGTTTCTGAGGCTGTAAATCTTTGCAGAAGCACAAAGACTCGTCTTACTCCCTCAGAGCAGCTGGTGGACTCAAACTGCTGACCTTTGGCAGTGAATTTGGTTTTGTTTGTTGGGGTATGGTCTATATATGAAGGAACTTCAAAAAGCTTGTGGAAAAACTACATGATCTTTTCATTCTATTTTTTTCTGTAAACTT